TCCAACTTTGCATTCCCAGGAGACAGGCCAACTACAGCAAAAATGCTTCATTCACTTCTGAGACCCACCATACAATCACTCCGCCTTCCACCTTTTCCCAGCTAGGAAAAAGATACCCCACACCAAGAAAAGAAAAAAAAAGGAATGTTAGTTTAAGTAAACACGGCTAAGTAATAAAAATATGTAGCTATGAAACATGATGTAGTGCTGTAAATATACAGTATAAGGATGTAACCCACAAAATGCTATGTGTTATACAATATATATGAAAACCCGTGTTTTCACGTGTGTGTGCGCGCATGTGTGAGTGTGTATGCGTATCAATAGCAGTAAGACATGCGGGAGCCTGTGTGATTGTGTATTTTAAGTATTGTAAAAACAAACATGCACATAAGCTCCCCACACACATTTTTTCAGACCAGTAGGCACTGGGTAAACAGAAGAGAAAACTCAATGTGTCGTTTTAAATATAGTGCTCTGATAAAAATATATATGAGAATACAGTTAACAACTAAGTAACACAGTGGCGCTCTGTGTAGATAGATGCAGTCACTGAAGGTGTATTGTCTCTCCCGAAACTTTGACGTGCCTGATGGCCGCTGAGTGAGACTTGTGCTTTCTCAGTACAGCTTAAGCTGGGCTGTCACTGAAGCGCAGGGGTGCCGACCAGCGGTCGCTCAGAGTTCCCTTGTACCCCCTCTTTTTGGTTTGGTTTGCTCTAATGGCATTCGATAAAGTGTTTTCATGTATTTTGGTAGTGCCTTCTTTTTGGCAGTATAGCCTACTATCTTTAGTACGTTCGTGGATGTTTTTAGTTGAGTCCCATACAATATAGACCTTCTGTAGAAGGCAGTAGAACAGAGCAGCCTTGCGAGGCATTTGAGGCTCCAGGATGGCTGATGGGAACTCCCCCAGAGCTGGGACCGTCTTTGTTACTTCAGGTGTCCATTATTTAAGGCCTGTTTTGGGTCTTCAGGCTGCCATGTAATGTACTGGAAGAAAACGTGTCTTGTGGAGCCTTACTGCCTGCAAAATATCTTGGCGAAGTGTTTGTTGGCCTTCTATTAGCAGCACTTTATTTAAAAATCTCTAGCTTACCAACATAATTGGCTTTTGAGAATGTGGACTATGCAGTATTTGTAATTTGACGAGTGCTCTGAAGATGAGTATCCCCATGGTTATTCTTACTCTGAGTTTATGTTCTGTATAAAATGAAGTTACACATAATCCATGGAACACCTAAAGACAGAGGATACACATGTGCTTTTTGGGAGACAAAAATATGTAGAAATCGAGGGATGATTGTACCCTTTGTACCAATATTTGCAGCTTGCCAGGAATTAGAGCAATTCTAAGAGTAACTTTGACCACTGACTCCATGTTGCTTTCCTTTATGATGCCCCAAACTGGGCCGCTCCTAGTGAGGCAGTTCGTGTGATGGTTAACAGAGAAGACTGGGACTAGGTTGCCGGAGTTTATATTCAGCAGTACCATTTACTGAATGACCCCGAGCAAGTCAGTGGCCCTTTCTTTGCCTCATTTTCCAAAATGTAAAAAGTCTGCCTCCTCGGGGTGTGGGCGCCAGGTGGGAAGCACCCAGCACAAAGTAAGCGCTCACTGCTTGCCTTGCGGATTATTTGTATTGTTGTCATTAGTGGCTGTGGGCCCCAAAGATTTCCTGGCTTCTCCTACAATTCCCTGCTTCTCATGTAAATGACTGCTCTCTGAGTTTTGCATGCAGCTCTCAAGAGCTGTTGCTATGGTGCTTCTTATCCACTCGAAGAAGGGTTTGGTTCCTCAATGGCTCGTTGCTACCAAGGAGCCCTCCCCAGCCAATTAAAATTAAAAGATGAAGAACAAGAATGGCTGACAAGAATAGGACACAGAAGAGTCTTCATTCATCCCATCATTTTGCCTGGCACTTTTTTACAAACCACTGGTTCTTGTCACTTAGGCTTAAGGTACTTGAGGAGAATTCAAAGGTGAGGGAGAACAAACGCCGCCATTGTGAACAACACATACGTCCCCTCACAGGCAAGGCCAGTGTGGGGGAAAGGAGCCAACGAAAAATGGATCTGCACATGCAGCTGGATGCTTTTGCAGTGGCAGAAATGTCAAGTAAAGATCACGTCGTCTTCCCAAGATCCCCAAATATTTATGTTCTCATTTAAAATTAACACAACATTTGTTGGGTTATCATGACGGTGTCCCATTGGACATCTTGTATGATATTCACGGTCGCCCACACAAACCAGTTCTTATCAGTCTTTACATTCATATTTCTTCTATTTGGTATATGTCCACTGTTAATAAATCATGCTGTTGAAAACAAGGTACTTTTTGATGGCTTACTAAAATGAAGAGTTATAAATGCCTCTATGCATTTTTTGCCTAAATGTACTTGGCAGATATCCCATTTACCCTAAAAACTTTATAGAAAAAATTATCTGAAACAAAAGGATACTTGATAAACTAGCAGTGTGTTTCATAAACAGTAATATTTAATGAAAGGTCCTGTAGAAAATTACATTTAATTTTAGTTAAGTGGATTTCTCATGTTTCTGATGAAACCATAATTGGGTATGATGTAGCATTTTATGATTTATTAACCTTATACTACTTAAAACTGATTACAAACTCAGTCCCTTTGCTTTTCTTGGAATCTGGGAAGATATTTAAAAAATCTTCTCCCGGTGTGTGTGTGTGTGTGTGTGTGTGTGTGTGTGTCTGTCTGTGTGTCTGTGTATAAGTAGGTAACTTATACATGGACCAGTCTGGCTGAAATGACGAGACTCTCTAGGTCCATTGGTAACAGCTTGTCTATAGCCTCTCGTGAGGAAGTTGCAAACACTGGCTTTACTACTCGTGTGATGAAAAGATATCCCTAGGCAAATGAAAATGGGCCACATTTTTAAATTGCTTGTCTATTTTGGGGCCTTAACCTTATTCAGCCTATTTATTTTTAGTGGGCCAGCAATATTTCATGTGCATATGATCTCTTTCAGTATCAACAGGAAATTGATGGCGAAGGTTGGGCTGATTATCAGCTTGGGAGATGTAGCTAACAACCCAAAAGGAAGATGCCTCCTTCTGACCTTCTTCAGTGTCTGTTGAGTGCAGGGTCTGAAATAATCCCAGGTGTACCAGCATAGTTAATATATTTTGTTCCATAATACGATATGTGATTGGTGAACAAGATTAGCAGAAAGGGAGAATATCTTGTAGCTGCTATCCTGGGTAACATGTGCAGCTTTCAAGCCCATGAAATGTGGCTCGCATGCTGTCATGTGCCATTTCGTGTATTATTCTCAATTTCTAGATGGAGAACAACTTTAATTTCCTGTTGTTGTATTCCAGGAGAAATTATTTCCTAAGCTCATCTACACGAAATTCATGTAGAAATTCATTTTATTCATGCCCACTAAAATGATTAAATTTAGAAAGACATTAGGAATAGTATGCCATACTTAGAGAATGTCAATGATCTCTACCATAGATTTATATTTTTATTATAATGTGATTAAGAAAGATTTTAAGGCTATGGCAGAAAATCAAAGAAGAGCATAAAGACCACTGTGTAGCCAGTCACAATTTTGTCAAATCTTAACATTTTGCCATGTTTGCTTTCAATATATTTTTATTTTTACTTATTTATTTTTTAATGGAGTCTTCATTTTGGATTCTTTTTAAAAAAAATTTTAAGGTTATTTACTTATTCATTTTTACAGGAAGGGGAAGGGAGGGAGAGAGGGAGAGAAACATCCGTGTGTGGTTGCCTCTCGCGCGCCCCCTGCTGGGGACCTGGCCCGCATCCCAGGCCTGTGCCCTGGCTGGGAATCCGACCAGCGACCCTTTGGTTCACAGGCCGGTGCTCAATCCATTGAGCCACACCAGCCAGGGCTGATTTCTGCATCTTCTTTATGAAATATTTCTTTCCCTGAGCCCCCAAATATATCCTCCTAAGTTTTCTTCCAGAAGTTTTTGCCTTTTCTATTTATGACTTTCATCTATCTGGAATTGATTCTGAATATGGTATAAAGCAGGGATATAATTATTTTTTTCAATATTGTCTCAAAACCATTGTTTTTTTTTTTAGTAGTCCAGCTTTTCCCCGCTGGCTCTCGGGGAAAATCTGGTTCTTGGCCACTTTTCACGGTATTTTATTGGTCAAGGTTTCTTGGGTCATGTAGTGATGTAACTTCCAACCTTTAGCCTGTGTGGGGGCAGACTGCTGATGAGAAACACAGAAGTATAATCTTCCTCCACCCAGGGCTTTAGAGAAAACAGTTTTTTGTTTGCTCCCTCTTGCAGTAAGTGCATTTTCCCCCTAGAGCCCCCTGTCACTGAGTTGTAGTCCTTTAAGGATCTAGAGATGACGAGAGGATGTGCAGTTTCCCATTACCTGGCTCGTTTGGAAGCTAAGACCCCTCTTTCCCTGCGTGGGCATTACAACCCAAGCCCTGAGGTTCATGAGATAGACTAATTCCTTAGAGCTACTGCAGCCTTCAGGCACGTGCTTTCTGCGCTAGTTTCGGTTCTGTTTAGTTTTTCCTTGCTTTTATGGTAAGCAAAATCTCTAGGCGTCCCCAAGACTCTTCTTTGCTTGTTTCCTCCTTCACGCTTCTCTGTGTTCACTTCTGTGGGGGGAGAGTCTCATGCATCAGCCTCTTGAGGCTCTTTGTATCCTGCGTATCTCAGGGATTCAGTAGCTGGTTGAGGGGGTGGGGGTGAGGGTACAGATAGCTGACCTTAGGGACACTTTGGGTTTGGACACAATTCTCGGCTTCCACGCAGTATTATTAGCAGTCGGAGTTCTGATGTATGAAAATATTACTAGGCTTACCTTTGAGATACTAATACCGTGATAGAGAAAAGAATAAATTATCAACGTCCTGTTTCTGTAAGGCCAACTGGTAAATGAAAGATACATAAAAGAAAATAATTTTACCTTAATTTTCCGCTCAAGCATCCTAATTCTCATTTTCTTATTCTCTTCCCAGGATGTGTGCTGTATTTGGTGGAATCTATTGTCTTCGCCATTCAGTGCACTGCTTTGTTGTGGACAAAGAATCCAGAAAGTAAGGATGATATAAGTTACCTTCCTATATTTACACCCCAAGCACAGGTGAAAAATGCTAAAGTCAATTTTTAAAAAATGATTCTTCAAAGATCCTCCTTGGTGTTAATAACATATCAACCTTGATTAAAAGTAATTTGTGTTTAGATCCTCCAGAACAAGGAAAGTGAGTTCAGAATATAGAAACTAAATTAATTTCCCTGCAATATGACTATAGCTCCCAACCATCCAAGCATGGAAGACAGATCGTTCCAGCTGCCGAGGGTGGGTGATGAGTGATTTTAGTTTTCCTTGTGGCCTTACCTCCTCTAATTGATTTTCATCAGATGACAACAAAGTCCTCTGTTATTGCATTTTTAAAAATGGAGCTCACCTAAAGACTCATCAGATTAATCTCTGCTGATAATGCATGTCACTCCAAGAGAAAAGATTTTAATGAGTTTTTAGGTAGATTGTTGTCATAAACTATGCTGCCCTGTTATCTGAGGATAAATTCTTTTACAACCATATCAGGCCTGCAGGCTGGTTTAGGATTGAAGTAAGAATGCACCTGCTTTTGTAAAAAGCTGAGTGTCACCTGTTTATCTGTGCCTTTTTATATTTAAGTTTTATTTTTCTAGGATTTATTATTTCGTTCCTAAGATATGCTCTTGTCTGAATTACACGAAGTAAGTAGTCTTTGATTATTATGTTTTACTTTAAAACTTAAATTGCTCAATTGGATCAAAGTTGAGGGTCTGTTTAAATTTTCCTTTTTGTTATGTGTTCATGAGCATCTACTGACCTCTATCCCTCCTTATATGACATTTTTAGGGTATATAAAGAAATTGTTATTCATCCGCAATTTGAGTGCCTTTTCTTTCTTTCTCTTGCCTGATTGCTGTGTTGAGTAATAGTGGTAAGAGTGGACATCCTTGCAAGTATTTTCTTTAGGATTTTTGCATCTCTCATCAATAATCAGAAATATTGGTCTGTAGGGGGTTTTTTTTAGTGTGTGTGCGCATGTGTGTGTTATCCTTGCCAGGTTTTGGTATCAGGGTTATATTGGCCTCATAAAAGGTGTTAGGAAGTATTGCCTCTTCGTTAAATTATTTTGGAGGGGTTTGAGAAGGACAAGTATCACATCTTCCTTGAATGTTGGGTAGAATTCACTAGTGAAGCCATCTGGTTCTAGACTTTTCCTTTTGGGAAGATTTTTGATGATTTTTTTCCCTTCCCTCTCTATTGATTGGTCTGTTTGGATTTTCTAGTTCTTTGTGATTCAGTCTAGGAAATTTATATATTTCTAGGAACTTATCCATTTCTTCTAGGTTATTGAATTTGATTGCATATAGTCCTCCATAGTATTCTGGTGTTATCCTTCATAATTCTGTGATGTCTACAGTAACTTCTCTTTAATTTCTCATTTTGATTATATGAGTCTTTTCTCCTTTTTCCTTAGTTTAGCCAGGGGGTTGTCAATTTTATTAATCTCTTCAAAAAAAAAAAACAGCTCTTTGTTGTATAGATTTTTTTGTATGGTGTTTTGTTGTATATTTCAGTCAATTCTGCTCAAATTTATGTTATTTCCTTTCTTCTGCTGACTTTGAGTTGTTTTGTTCTTCTTTTTCTTTTTCTTTAAGATGTAATGTTAGGTTGTTTAATTGAGATTTTTCTTTTTTCTTCAGTTAGGACTATTATTGCTTTTGCTGAGTCCCAAAAGATTTGATATGTCATATTGTCATTCTCATTGGTCTCTGTATATTTTTTGATAAGCACCTTTTATTTCTTCTGCGACCCAGTTATTTTTTTAGTAGTATGTTTTTAAATCTCCACCTATTTGTGGGGTTGTTTTTTTTTTTTTACTTTCTTTTTGCAATTGATTTCTAATTTTGAAGCATTGTGGTAGAGAATATGCTTGGTACTATTTCAATCTTCTGGAATTCGTTGAGGCTAGTTTTGTGACCCAGCGTGTGGCCTATCCTTGGGAATGTTCCATGTACACTAGAGAAGAATGCATAATCTGATGTTCTGGGATGAAAGGCTCTATAAATGTCAATTATGTCCATTCAGTCTAATGTGTCATTAAAGGCTGATATTTCATGAATCTTTATATAGAGAACCCTAAAGACACCACTAAAAAACTATTAGAAACAATAAGCAAATATAGTAAAATTGCAGAATAAAAAAATCAATCTGCAAAATTGCACCGCATTCCTATATACTAACAATGAAATTTCAGGAAAAGAAATTAAATAAATAATTCCTTTTACAATTGCAACAAAAAAGTAAAATACCTAGGAATAAACCAAACCAAGAATGTGAAGGACCAATAATACTGAAAACTGCAGAGCATTATTAAAAGAGTTGAAAAAGACAAAATGAAATTGAAAGATATTCTGTGTTCATGCATTCGAAGAATCAACATATAAAAATGTCCATTTACCCAAAGCAATAAACAGATTTAATGCAATCCCCATCAAAATCCCGATGACCTTTTTTTTTAAAAAATAATAGAACAAAACAGCTGTTACATTTGTATGGAACCACAAAAGGCCCCAAATAGCCAAAGCAATCCTCAGGAAAAATAAAACCAAAGATATCACACTCCCATACTTTAAATCACTACAAAGCAACAGTAATCAAAACAGCAAGGTATTGGCAGAAAAAGACACATAGACCAATGGAACAGAATTGAAAGCCCCCAGATAAACCCATATGTGTATAGGCATATAATTTTCTACAGAGGAGCCCAAACCATACAATGGTGTAAAGAGAGCCTCCTCAATAAATGGTGTTGGGAAGAGTGGAAAGCCTCAGGCAAAAGGAGAAAACTAGACTACTGTTTGCCCCCATGTACAAAAGTTACCTCAAAATGAATCAAAGTTGTAAATATAAGACCCGAAACAATAAATTACATAGAAGTTATAGGTATTAAACTTACAGACCTTGGCTGTAGAGAAGATTTTAGATTTTGATCTCAAAGGCAAGGGAAGTAAAGGCAAAAATAAATGAATCTGACTCTATCAAACTCAAAAGCTTCTGCACAGCAAAGGATACTGTGAACAGAACAAAGAGGCAACCAAGCAAATGGGAGAGAATATTTGCAAGCAAAAGCTCCAGTAAGGGGTTATTATCCAAAATATATAAAGAATTAATCAAAGTCAGCACCAAACAGTAGGTCCAATTGAAAAATGGGCAGAGGACCTAAACAGACCCTTGTCCCAAGAAGACATACAAATGGCCACCAGATACACGAAAAGATGATCAACTTCACTAGCTGTTAGGTAAGCGCAAATCAAAACTTCAATGAGATACAACCTCCCACCTGTTGGAATGGCCATTGTCGACAAGACAGGCAGTAACAAGTACGGGAGAGGCTGTGGAGAAAAAGGAACCCTTGTTCACTGCCGGTGGGAATGTAAGCTGCTGCAGCCACTGTGGAAAACATCATGGAAGTTCTTCAAAAATTAATAAGAGACTTGCCATATGATCCAGACCTGAAAAACTTGAAAACATGTGTTCACAAAAACCTATGCACCCCTATATTCAGTGCAGCATTATTCACAGTGGCCAATACAGGGAGACAGCCGAAGTGTCCTTCCATAGACGATTGGGTAAAGGAGATGTGGACCATATATACAATGAGATCCTACTCAGCCATAAGAAAAGATGCAGTACTGCCATTTCAGGTAACCTTGATGGACCCCGAGAATATCATGCTAAGCGAAATAAAGTCAGATGGAAAATGTTAAGAATCACATGGTTTCACTCATATGGGGGATCGAAAACTGAAAGCAACAAATGAACAAACAAGAAAAATAAAAGCTCATAGACACAGACAACAATATGGCGGTTACCAGAGGGAAGGGGGCGGGCGGAAATGATGGGTAAAGGGGATCAGATATGTTATGATGGAAAATTATTTGACTTTGGGAGGTGAGCACACAATGCAGTGTGAGATGATGTATCATAGAATGTACACCTGAAACTTATATAATCTTATTAACCAATGTCACCCCAATAAATGTAATAGAAAGAAAGAAATTGTTCTTCAGAAAATAGCCTTGATATGTGGAACTGGAAGCTTAAACACGTATGTTTTAAGCTTTTTTTTTTTTTTTAACACTAGTTGTCTATAGTCTGAGTGGCATAAAATGTTTATTGTCCTTGTATAGACTACTTAGAATATAATAACTAGTATTTTAAGATATGGTGGAGAAAAAGGTCAACTCTAAAACATGTAATATTTAGACAGTGGATTTGCTGTACAAAAGTAATTTTGCAGTATAACGTAAAATAGACGCATGGTTTAAAGGCTCGTAAAGTACTTTCAGCACTTTAACGGGAGGGTACTACATAAATGAAACATGAAAAATCTATCCCTGAAGGCCCAGGATATTCATATATTGGCTTACGAAGAGCTCCGTGAAGGTTCATGAAGGAATCGTTGTCCTTATGACTTTTAGAGTCCTTTTTCCTTATGTTTTCATTTTGAAGCATGAGTATGCTCCCATGACGGAAAGCCTGATAATGAATTGCTTGTTTGGTGTTTATTTACTTAGATCCTTTTACCTTTTTGGGCCTCATTCCAACCTCACATGTTACTCTTAGTGACATGAAGAATTTGCATGGCTCTTGTTTGTCTTACAAAAAAACCCCCCAAAAAACTGGATACATTAGTACAGTAATAGCATTTGTTGAACAAAGGCTACATTCAGCATAACGTTGACTTCGTTTTTATTACAAACTGTGAACATTGGAACTCTTTTTTATGATCTGCTATGGATTTCAGTTGCAACAGATAGATGAGAGCTAAGGGTCTAAAGCCCAAAGTTGGGTAGTTTTCAAATTTTAATGTGTTTAAGGATAGCCAGATAAACTTATTAAAAAACCATGCGTATTTTCAAGCCTCGCCCGAGGGGAGTGAAATTGGATAATGTGCTTCCAGTAGAGCCAGGGCATTTGCCGTCTGAAGGAACAGAGCAGGCAACCTAACGGGGGTGACGCTGAGAAGCACTG